GGACCTGGTTGTCTGTTTGACATCTTGAACTATAAAAATAATTTAGACAAAAAACACAGTTTATAATAAAAAAAAAAAAAACGAACCAAATAGAATATAAATTTCCTTTTAAATTATTTTAATATAATATGTAAAACATAATATTCAATCTGTCTTGGGCTACAATCAATAGGATAATATTTTTGTTTTAATTATTTAATTATGTTGTATTTTTGTAGTATCAAGTTTATCAAGTAAATTAATAGTTGTATACTTGTACCCATTTAAAAAGCAAACACAAATGACAAATTATATTCCATTTTGTGTTCTGTTTCATTTATCTAGTGGCCATGGTGATATTTATAAAAAAGTTCAGTTTATAAAAAGACATTAATTGTTAAATACAAAGACTTTTATAAGCCTGGGTACAAACATGTAATTTAATAAATAATCTGAAAACAATTAAATCATTAGTACCTAAGTAACATTTTATGTAGTACATAATTTTATGCAGTACCTACCTATTTGGAAAAATATAGGTATAGTTGTTAATTTAAAATCACATAACAATGAATTACAATTAATAGTGCGATTTTTAAGATTAAGGTTTTAAACGACTATCTACATAATATTATATTATATACAAGAAAATGAGGTAATTTACCATACTTTATTATGTCACTAATTGGAGAGTACATTAATCTATTTATGATAGACTAAGGCACGTACTATGTACACTCCCGCTGACAGTAAATTGCGGACGGGTTTGATTTATTTTATATTTTTATCTATTTTTTACCTTTTTCATATTTGTCCTTTTAATTTTTAAATCTATAAAATTATTTTATTTTATTCCCATACCCAATATTACACATTTCCTGTGAAATATTATTTTGTACTTAGTTTTGACTTTTGTTTTAAAGTCCATTTTCAATTTTCAATTTACAAAATATTTAAAACCTTAAAAATACGCCCACGAAAATTATACGCCCGGGGATAAATCCCCGACTTCCCCCCTAGATCCGGCCCTGGTTACATAGTTGAAATAGTAGTACCTACAATGAAAAGATATATTATGTAGAAACAAATGAATTGACAGTGATTGTAAAACCGTAATGAATACATAAAACCGTGTTTAGAATAATTAGTTAAAAATGCAATATTCAAGTTACAATAATGAACGTACATAACATTATATTTGTTTTATATAAACAATTGAATAGTTAAATCACAATAATACACATTATAATATATTTGCTTACATACAGACATGTAATTATTAAAAATGCAATACTTAAATTACAATATGTAGGTACGTGACATTATATTTTTTGTTAAATGAACAATTTAGTAGTTAAATTACAAATTATTTGTTATATAAGCAATTCAACAGTTAAATTACAATTATGTACATGACATAATATAATGGTATAAAAATTTAGTAGTAAAAATATTCATACAGGAAAGTAATATTATTAAAATTTTAAAAAAACCAGTACCTAACTATAATTTGTAAAATAACCTAAGAAAATCGAAAAAAACATGTTTACCCACGTAAATACATATTATATTATAATACATAAAAAATGATATATGGAAGATTAATTTAAAAAAAAATTAACGTAGTAGAAATATTGTAATTTTTATACACAAAGTAAAGTTAAAATAATAAAAATAGTAAAGAGAAAAGATCGGAAATTTGTAAAATTACGGGAAAAAAAAGTAGTGTAGTGCCGGGGCACTCGTTTTTGGAAAAGTAGGGCCACGTTTCGACGTTAAATTTAGCGGGGAACGCGAATAAGATCCAAACGGGGAGGTCGATACGCCCCAAAACGCCTAAAACTCGAATTTTCGAAAAAAAAATGCAAAAAACGCGCGCGACGGCGGCCCTCGTATCGCACGCGACATCCGCCGCCGCGGGCCCGCCGGGAAAAAAGTAAGCCCGCGCGCCGACTATAAATTTACCGAGGAATGCGAATAAGGTCCGAACGGGGCCCCCCGGGGGGGTAAAACTCGTTTTTTTTCGAAATTTCTTTGATTTTCGAAAAAAACGGCAAAAAGTGATAAGAGGAGTGATAACGCAGCGACGGCTCCGCCGCCGCCGGGAGACCGCCCACGGATAGAAATGTAATTTTCCGATTGGAGGGTTCCCTAAGTCAGTTCGGATTTACTCCACAAGCTGCGCCCTCGGGTTCACGTTTTATAGTATAAGACTAGCTCTCCGAGCGTCGCTGGGGGATACCCCCAGACCCCCGGGTGTCGGTCATGAGTGTTTTCGATTTCGGAAGATGCAGTGGTCTGTTGGTCTGGTCGTCAGTCTCGAGCTGGTCGGTGTGTGATAAGGAACTCTGATAAGGTTAGGTCCACCGTGGTTTGGCATGGTAGCCCCCCCCCGGTAAGCAACAACGTTCGACGACAACGTTCTTTACTGCCGCCGGAAATTCAAAATTCCGTAAAAAAATTATAAATCGTCGTTGTATTTTTGTGGGTGTCTAGCAGGTCAGTCACCTCGAATGACGTTCGCCGTAGTAATAGTATTTGGGTTCTAGCGGGTCAGTCACCTTCCTCGACTTTGGTCGTAGTCACCCTGGAAGGCAATCCGACAATACTCGACGGCTGGGGAACGTCATCACGTATGCAATCCGACTGCGTCGAATCGCGGACGACGTTCATTACTGTTACCGAAAAAGCAAAAAAAGTAATAAATTACTTGAAAAGTATTTAAAAAATTTCGGACGTCCATGCAAATCATATAGCCGCCGTCGCCAGTCGCCAGTCTCGAGCTGGACGGTTAATGGGTGGTATGAAGGTCTAGTGATAAGGATTTGTGGTATAAATTAGTGATGAGGAAACTGGATTTGTGATAAGGATAGTGGATTATTGATAAAGATTGTAGATAAGTGATAAGCATGGTGGATTTGTGATAACAATTTATGATAAGGATATTGGATTTGTGATAAGAAAAGTGGATGTGTGATAAGGATGGAGGATTCGTGATAAGGATAGTGGTTTAGTTAACCGGATACCTGTCAAAGTCTTTTACCTTGGGGGTCTAGCATGTCAGTCACCTTCCTCGATGTTGGACGTAGTCACCCGGGTAGACAACGTGACAACCGATTCGATGCATCGGTTATATAATTTATGTGAAAACATGTTTTGGGGTCTAGCAGGTCAGTCACCTTCCTCTACGTTGGTCGTAGTCACCTTGGTAAATATGCGATTGCTGATGAACGTCATCAAGTATCACAGCGTCCATTACTGTTAACGAAAATGCAAAATTAAAGAATAAATTACGTGAAAAAAAGTTGTTATCCGGGTAGGCAATCCGACTCGATGTGAGACGTAGTCACGGTAGACAACGTGACGACGTGTGACGGCCGGTTCGATTATATTGGGTGTATAATTCACGTGAAAATATGTTTTGGGGTCTAGCAGGTCAGTCACCTTCCTCTACGTAGGTCGTAGTCACCCTGGTAGGCAATCCGAATCGATGTGAGACGTAGTCACCTGGTAGACAACGTGACGACGTGTGACGGCCGGTTCGAGGATTGGGTGTATAATTTACGTGAAAATATGTTTTGGAGTCTAGCAGGTCAGTCACCTTCCTCTACGTAGGTCGTAGTCACCCTGGTAGGCAATCCGACTTCGTCGGATAGCGGATAATGTGCGACGGCTGATGAACGTCATCACGTTCATTACTGTTACCGAAAACGCAAAAATAAAGAAGAAATATTTCGGGCGTCCATGCATATCATATAGCCACCGCCTTTTTTTGGGTGTCTAGCAGGTCACGAAGCTCCCGGGTTTGGAGTCATCGGACAGGCCTAGCGGCCAGTCTTCCGACTACAACTACGGACCTTATATTAGCACTAGGTGCTAGTCAAGGGCCGCAGAGGCATACGACCGCCAACCGACGGACCCTCCCCACACAGCTGCATGGCCAGAGGACCGCCGGAGACTGACGACCGCACGTCGTCTAGGGACCACGAGCACCGGACGCGCACGGAGGAGTTCCCCGGCGCGCCCGTACCATCTGGCTAGGGCATACCGGTGCCTTTTGCCACCTTGGTGAGGCCGCAATCTATCCACTTTGCTTTCCGTTTTTGGTCACGGACAACCTTCGCTGTATATAGCTCCAACGATAAGCTGGGTGAGCGCTAAGGAGAGACCGTGCATTCCCGGCCGACTGTCGCCGTACGGGTCCGCCCGGCCCCGTCACTCGGCAACTATCCCCTGACCAAGCGTGAGGTCTATTACCACATAGTATGCTCCTGCAAACTGCCACTTCGAAACCAATCCGCCGTTGGTCGAGGCAGTGTCCACCACGACCAACGTGTGAGGGCTCGGAGTTAATCACTCAACACCGAGGGGCCCCCTCACATCCCGAAGTACCATTCTCGCCTCCCGTAAGGTAAGGCACATCATTGGTGGGATGCTCGGACGAAGCTTCGTCGGCGTTATGCCTCAGCTTATTATCCTCCCGAGATTCGGGCCGTGTACCGCGGGCTCACGGTGGGCCCAAACTCCACCTCCCAGAGGCGTCACCAGGTGGCTAAGCCCAGTGACCGACCCGCTCTTCAAGAGGTCGCGGTCAGAACCTCAACCACGCCACAAAGGCGTCACCAGGTGGCTAAGCCCAGTGACCGACCCGCACTTCCCGAGGTCGCGGTCAAAACCTCTCAACGCCCTAATCCCTGAAGGTTTCGGTGCGTCCACGCCCCTGGCGCCGACCCCGACTGGTCAAGCTTCCTTATAGTCGCCTTGTACGACAAGCAGGGAATACTGATGCGGAATTCTGTACGGCCCCCCCAACAGGGCCGAGCACCACGTCCCAGACGTATGAGCACGACCCGGGCCAGAACGCGCTCGAGCGTGTTCCCCCGTTTCTGCCACTTACGCCATACGTGCTCATCGGGAACACCCCGAGACTATGCCTTCCGTCGTAGACGGGGCAGCGTCCTGACCCATAGGGTTAACAACCCTTTCAATTCGTACTTTGAATCATTCTATCCGTGAGTCGTTTATCTGTCCGTGCGATTTGTAAGGGCTTCTCTTGAGAATGTTACCAATGCCTCATATGTGGCCTTTGACTTGAGGAAGGCCCCATCAGCCGGTGGCCAAGAAACGCCTTCGTCACTGAGGGTGCTTTTTAGTTTTTTGCGGGCATTCTTCGTGCGTGGGCAAAACCTGAGTACGTGATTGACCGTTTCTGGCTTCCGGTCGCACTCACAGATCGGATCTGACACGAGTTTGAAACTATGCAGTTTTGCCCGGAAGTCTCCATGGCCTGTTAGAAACTGGGTCGTGTAGTGATCCAGCTTCATCGGAAGATTGAACCTATGTCTTACCGATGGAATCATTTTTTTGGACCAGTTACCCTTGGGCAGGGTGTCGTATCTGAGTTGCCATTCGTTAAAGAGATCGTCTACACTTCCGTCGAATGCGGCGTTTGTAATCTCCTGTTTACGCTTCTTCTGTGTTAGGACGTGCATCCTTATTTCCAGGTCTAATGGCATAGTACCTGCGACTGAAGGAAGGCAGTTTGTAGACACGGTGTTGTAGGCACCGGTCATCGCCAGGAGGGGAGCTCTCTGGGCGCTTAGTAGTTTCTTTTTGCTTTTTTCAAGTCTAGTCCCTGAAGCCCAAATTTCAGCTGCGTAAGTTACACGAGGTAAGAAGACTCCCCTGTAGATTGTCCTGGCCGCAAGTTGGCCCATGCCCCAGTTCGCGGAGCGGAGTCTTCTCATGCGACCGTACATGTCTCGCGATTTTTGGCTTACATGCTCGATGTGATCCCAGAAGCTCCGTCTCGGGTCCAGGTACACCCCGAGGTATTTGGCCGTGGCCGAGGATACGATTAAAGGAGCGTCTGCTCTCGTCCCGAAGCGAACGCTGTAGCCAGGTTTAAGGCCGCCTTTAAGTGATAGGAGTTGACTTTTACTGGCGGAAAATTCAAGGCCAAACGTAAAGGCCCAATTGTTTAGTAGGTCCAAGTGTTTTTCAATCCGCTGGAAAGCTTTTGTAGGCCTAGCGGCGCCAACCATTAGCAGAATGTCGTCTGCGTAGGTAATTATTTTGGTCGTGCTGGTGTCAGGTAGCATGCCGTATATGGGTGTCATTGCTATTTTCCAGAGGGTAGGACCCAACTGTGATCCCTGAGGGCACCCCCTAGCGAGCCTCCTCCGGTAGTGGATGCCCTCAAGTTCCAGGTCCGCCCACCTGTTGCGAAGGTACGATATCACGATTTTAGATGTTTCAAGCGAGGCGCCCAGACGCTGCATTTGCAAGAGCAATGACGACCATCTTACATTGTCAAATGCGCCGGTAATGTCGAGGAAAGTCCCGAATATGTGCCGTGATTTAGACGCATCGATGCGCTCATGTAAGCTGCGGAGAGCACTGACCGTGGACTTACCTGTCTAGCAGGTCAGTCATCTATGTTATCCGGTAGTCAATCCGACCCCGTCGGATAGCGGACAATGTGCGAAGGCGGGGGCACGTTCATTACTGTTACCGAAAACGCAAAAATAAAGAAGAAAAAAAATAAAATAAAATAAAATAATAAAATAAAAAAAAAAAATAATAATAATAATAAATAAAATAATAAAATAAAATCATTTGAGGGGGGCTGTATTGAAGCCTGTATGTTATAGTAAAAGCGACACGACGCACGACGGCGGCGTTCTCCGCGGTGTCGATCGACTTGATGTTGGTCGTAGTCACCCGGGTAGACAACTTGACGATGTGTGACGGCCGGTTCGAGGGAATCGTGCCGCCGTGATCTGTTGAGTGTCTAGCAAGTCAGTCACCACCTTGATTGATGATAACATCGTTAAATGCGTAAGCAATCCGACTAAACGTCAGATAAAAGATCCACCACTCCGAAGCCGGGTCGAAAATGAAAATAGTATTTTTACCGTGCCCAAAAATTACTGATAAGGCCCGTAATCACTTACGAATAAATGAAGGTGTCCTGAAATAATAGCATACTGTATTTCCATCAAGAATTTCAGCGTTGCATTGCCGAAGGCGCAACGATATGGAAACGGAACTCGGTCAGCTGGTTGTGGTTTTGTTTCCACGCACCAACATGGTTAGAACCAATGTCTCCCGTATTATGTAAACGTTTGTTAAAAGTCGCGCCAACAGTAACTGTATTCGCTGATAGCGAGCGGACCGACGATAAACGGTCGGTGATAGGGCTTTGGCGGTATTCTGTCGAAGGCGGAAATGTTTGAATGTTAAATTTGTAACGGGCTGTGACTACATACATATTATAATAGTAATAATATATAAAATATTATATTATATTATGCTGTATTGAGTATAATGCGCTTATAATATAATATATTATATTCAATAACAAATATAAATGCTGCAGAGGGCACGTAACCCAATAATAGTAATAATATAAACGTCCGGGCGGCCACATCGATAAGAGTATAGAACGCGCGCATTATCCATATTCTAGGAAATACGAAAAAGCCGTAAATAACAAAAATAGATAACTTTGAAAACATATAATCCCAATTAACATTATTTCGTAGAGGACGCCGAAATGACGTCAGGTGTACGCAGCTATGTACCATTTTTATACTAAAAATGCCATAGGAGGGATCTAATAGGAAAACCGACGAAATACGTCGATGGACAAGTGTCCATCAGACGAACACCAGCCAAGACGACGAGCACTAGCAGAACAGCCACAAAGTCAATACTAAGTCACAACCCGTTTACCACTATTTTATAATTTAATTATTTGGACTTAGAATATTTTTCGTGTTAAATAAATACAAATAAACTATCATTATACCAACAACTTGTCATTTTAATTCAAAATACCATCAATATTGAGTTGAAGTAGTTGGCACGTTACAAAATTGGTGCTGTGGACAGGGTATCTCAAAAGGATACTTAGAAGAACCCTGAAGAACAATTAAAAAATTTTTCAACTTCTAAAATTCAATCAAGGAGGAAAATCCATCACTGGACCACCGTTGGGAGCCTGTACACCTTCCAGCAACTCCGAGAAAGAATCCTGTACAACTACGTAACACCCAACTACAATCAACATTTCAACCGAGAAAATGGAAGCACCCGCTGTACCAGCTGCGTTTTTGTAAGTATGCTTAGGTAATTAATATCGTGGTGTTCGTCTCCTATGGTATATGCATGACCATAGTATATAATAATAAGTGAAGAAACTAGTCGTGTTAAGTAATATAAGAATTTTTAGGAACTTTGAATTTTCGTTTCAACAAACCGAAATTGTGTTGAATTTACAAGCGTTTTAATAAAATAAATCGATAGTTTTTCAAGGATTAAAATAAATAACATTTGAATAAAATAATAATTTATTTTAAAATAACGTGGCCAGTTACTTTAAATAAATTAAATTTTTAACTTTAAATTAAATTAAATAAAATTTTTATTTTCAGGTATTTTATGTTTCAATCATTTTAATAGAATAAGATAGATATTGTTCAGTACTTTAAGTCATTTCTAAATAAAATAAAATAATAATTTTATTTATAATAAATTTATTCAATCATTTAAAATAAAATAAAATAATAGTTTAAATTAAATAAAATTTTAATCATTCTAATAAAATAAATTCATTAACATTTAAATAATTTAAAATAATAAATTAACTTAAAATAATTTTCAAGCATTTAATAAATTTAAAATAATTTTAAAAATTTTTTCCATCATTTAATTAAATTAAATTAAAATAATATTTAGTTTTAAACTAAATCTTCAATCGTTAAATAAAATAAAATAATAATTTTATTTTACAATAAATTATCCAATCAGTTAAATAATTTAAATTAATAATTCAATTTTAACTTAACATAATAAATTAAATTTAAAATAAATTTCAATCATTTAAATAAAATAGAAATAGCACTTTGATTTTAAAATAATTTTCAATCATTTGAATAATTTAATTCAACAATTTAATTTAATCATTTAAGTAAATTAAAATAATAAAATTTTAATAAATTTTAATCGTTTAGTTAAACAATTTAATTGTTCGGGATTTTAATTTTCATATTCAAATATAATTTTTCTGATTGATTAATTATAGACATTTGTACCTACTATTTAAATTTATTTAAGCTGAACAATTTCTATTTTACGCATCAGATTATCGAATTCAATTGTGTTGATTATTATAATAATTTGAGTCAATTAATAATTTTATAGAATAATAAAATAATTTTAGGAATAAATATAGTTATTGAAATACAACGGAAATTCAATTCAGTTATTTAGAGAAGAAATAAATTAAAGGCATTGTTTTATTTAATAAATTATTGCAGATAGTAATCAATTTGAGGAAAATTTATTTTATTAATTAATTAACAATCATAGTTGAAATTATTTAAGAAGTTTTCTCTAGTTAACAAATTCCATTCTAGAAGCAATTCATTGAAATAGTTCGTGCTGATTATTATAATAAATTAAGAATTAATTAAGAATAATTTTAAGTAAAAGGGGGTTAATTATTTACTGTTGAATATGTGGTGAATATATATATTGAGAATTTATTGAATTTTATTATAGGCCGTGTTGTAAGTCCTTTTGTTATTGAATTTTATTATAGGCCGTGTTGTAAGTCCTTTTGTTATTGAGTTTTATTATAGGCCGTGTTGTAAGTCCTTTTGTTTTTGAATTTTATTGAATTTTATTATAGGCCGTGTTGTAAGTCCTTTTGTTTTTGAATTTTATTGAGTTTTATTATAGGCCGTGTTGTAAGTCCTTTTGTTATTGAATTTTATTATAGGCCGTGTTGTAAGTCCTTTTTGTGTTATTTGTGTTATTACGACAATTGAAGTCGATATTATTGAATTTTATAGGCTATGCAGACGTGCATTTTAAGTCCTGATATTGTGAATTATTTGAAGACAGTGAGTCTATATTTTGAATTTTATTTTACAAGGCCGGAATAAGTCCTTATGTGTTGAAAAGAGTAGGTTGATTTATAAAGAAAATTTTAATTCAATTAATACAGTAATAAGAGTTACTATTTTAAATAGATGTCGTATTGGCTGATTAATTTGAATTAAGCAAAAAAAAAAAAAAAAATTAGAGTAACTAGTTAAATTAAATTTTAATTTTAAATCGTATTGATTAATTAAATTAAAATTAAATCTAAGATAGGCAAGTTAAGTTAAATTTTTATTATTAATAAAATTTACTTTAAATAAATTATTAAGTAATTAAATTGGATTTAAGTATTGAAGCAATCGGGTTGATTGTAAATAATTGGTAACGATTGTTATTAATTATTTATTGTTAATTGTTGCTGATTTATTTTGATTGTTTGATTATTTGATTAATAATTTACTGTTTATTTTACGCACTATAGTTATTAGTTATTTCATTAAATTTCATTAGAGAATTAATTATTGCGTACGATTTAAAATTTTGTACACTAGTGTGTCAGTTGCACTTTAATTCCGTTTTCATTCATACTATTACATTAAGTGATTATGACTATTGATTAATGAGTCAAAAGGATAATAATACTAGTTTGACTGAAAGTGAAACTGAAAGTATACAATTAATCGATCAGGAAACTAGGGAAGTAGTAGTAATTAAATCAACAAGTTCTGATATAATTAATAACGAGGATAGTGAATCGAGTACAACCAGTTCGAAGGAAACTGATAACAAACCAGTTACCGAAACAACAACAGTTGACGATAAAGAATTATTAATTGATTTAAGTACCGAAGAAGGTTATCAATATTCCAAAGATTTCGATAGGGAAAAATATTTAGAAGCTATAAGGGAAAAAGATTTATTGAATACAAGCATACGACCGATAATAGTAAACGAAACTGAGCTGCGACAGATAGGTACTCGTACGCAGAAGGGGATAATACATACGCAATTAGAATACGTTAAACGAACCAAGAAAACCAAAATGCCAGGAAAGATTCCATTAGATAAAGCAACCCTCATGATCCCTACATGTACCGGCGAACGGAACGTTTACCACAATTTTATAATTTAATTATTTGGACTTAGAATATTTTTCGTGTTAAATAAATACAAATAAACTATCATTATACCATCAACTTGTTATTTTAATTCAAAATACCATCAATATTGAGTTGAAGTAGTTGGCGCGTTACAAAATTGGCGCTGTGGACAGGTTCGAGTGATGGGCTATGGCATTATTATAACCATATGAAAACATTTTGTAAAAATGAAATAAGAACGATGGCCAAAAGTGTAAGTTTTAATGCCGTGTTCGAATGCATAATAAAAA